ATCTATTTGACAGCACAAAACCCATTCATTAAGAAATGATAATTTAGAAAGTTGTAATTTTAACAAAGAGCTCCAGAGTTACTTACGCTATCCAAGGTAATTTCTGAGTAATTTCCCTCCACAACTGCTTGTGGATGATATTATTTTCTTTAAAATCCTCTTTCAGAGGGTATTTCTGCTACTTTTCTTCTCAAAGCATGTAGTTGAAAATGTGTCCTAACCTCGTGTTGCTCCACTGTCTTCCTATCACAGACTTTTTATACTGTACTGTACTGTGCTTAATTGCATAAAGAAAAATGTGGCTATTCTGAAATGCTTTAAAATACATGCAAAACAATGTAAAATAGTTAATATGACCCTGTTTTATTGTCTAGCTGCATAAAGTAGGCACACTTATTTTAAACTGAGAATGAATTTAAAACCAAAGCAACCACTTGGAAGGAATTTCAGGATATATTTGATTTTACATAATACCTGTGAGCCCAGTGATGGATTGGAATCTCATTGTGCTAAATATGTTGGAAGAAAAGGTAGCATCTACCTTTTGTGTGTTAGTGAGAGGTCTCAATTGAATAGTAGTACAGGGAGAAATACATGAAATCAGTGGTAGGAGATTAGCGCAGTCAGCTTTCAGTTGCCACTGGTTGCTTGTCCCAACTACACTGTGCCACAGGTACAGAAACCTCTTACAGACGCTCGGTGTGGCAGGTCCTGCACCGGGCTCCCTGGACCATGATGGGTTGAGGAGCACGGTGGAAAGGAATATACTTGCTCAGAATCTGGTCATGAATCATCGTGTGAGAAGTGATCCACACAGGTTTATTAGCTTCAGCTCAGTGCTGGCCTTGACATACCTGCATCGCTTCCAATGAATTCCTGCATTTCTATAACATGCCTCCTATGTCTTGGGTTCTCAGGAATTTGTTAGTTTACGTTATCCTGTTCGATGACCAGACAAAAGATTATGATCTCAGAAGTGTAACTTCTCTTAAGTATTTAGTTTTTTCATTGTTTCCTTTTGTATTTTAAAGATGTCATGGAAAAGGAGAGATACAAGAAGAATTTGAGGAAGGTCAGTCAGGTCATTAAATGGATATTTGTGGAGTATCCCTTCAGGTAGGAACAGTGGCATGGGAGAAAACATGAAAATGCGTGACTGTGTATATGACAAGGTGATACTGAGGAGGGGACATAGCACCCTAATATTAGGTAAGGGATGAATGGACTCCAGTTAGGCTGTGAACATCTTTGACAGTGAGAGTGACTTTTGTTGTTGTTTAAAGTAGTAAAAAGAAAAACAGCTTAGAGAACCCAGAGATGAGAGTTTTGTGAAAAGAGCATCATTAACAGCAGCATTCACATTGGATGGTGAGTGAGCCGGACTGCATTTAAGGTCTGAAAGGAGAATGTTGCAATGACTAAGGTGTGATACAAGGACTCAGGTAAAAGTCTACCTGTGTGTATGGATTTTAGAGCTGATAGGAAAAGAAAGTCTTTAGATGTAATCAAATTGCACTTGGGAGAGAACAGAGTTAAAAAATTACAACGATTTAATGTATGTAAGTGATGAGAAGGGAAAACCTAGCTTCTATAGGTGGAGAAGTTGACAAGCTCTTAAGTGTACAGTTTCCTAATCTGCTGAAGGGCTTCTGGACCTGAAAGCTTGTTTCTCTCCAATTCTGTCACTAGGTCTAATGAAAAGTATTCCTTTTCTTTTAGACCATGCGGATTCCTAGACAATCTTGGCTATGTCAGTGTTGCTTCCACAGCCTGTATGTGATCAAAATAGCAAGTAGCAGGGAACCCAGATTAATCCATTTTGATTTTCATTTACCTAATGGAACATACTCCTCTCTCCACTAAAATAAAGACCATAATACATGGTCTCATTACATAAGGGTGTTTTTCCTTTATGCTGCCAACTTTTTTTTCTTTGTGTAACCAAATGTGGCAAGAATTCAAGAAAAGAGCAGTTCTCCAGTGGTACAGAACTGTCATGGAGACTTTGTGTGAGCTTTTACAACTGTTAAAATTTATAAGACTAAGCTAAGCTGAAGTCTTTTGGGAGCAGTTGACCTTTCTTCTCTGTCAGCTTATGTTCACTTTGAACCTAAACTACATCTCTCCTTTTCCTAGTCTTGTACCTACTCTTTCTTTGCCTGCCTGCCCCTTGACCTGCCAACTCTCCCACGTGGAACGGAGTGATGTTGCATCATCCCTGTAAAACATCTATCTTCCTTTTTTTCCCCCCTCTGGAGTAACTTGTATTCTCTGTTAAGAAAGCAGACAGGGAAGGTGAACAAGTTTTCTCTGTAGTGTGCAAGTCTGAAGAAAGATGGTAAATCTTTGGGTCACACATTGGGGTAAATTTAAGAAAATTGAGGCATTGACTGGATTGATGCAGTTACACTGAAGAAATCAAAGGTATTACTGTCCCCTTGAGGAAAGGAGAATTGTATTGTGCCCCAGGCTTCTGCAACAGGACTTAAGGTAGAGGCATTACTGCTGCAGTTCTATTCATCTCTATAAGTCTAATAAGTTAGTTGCTTAGAAGCTCTTCTTTCTTCTAGTTTTTGCTTATAAAAAATAAGCACTATTACAATGCTCTGTGTATTTGTATGGCTGTGCTCAAATGCATGTTTACATGAGTAAGAGATTCTTAAGTGCCTACATGTAATTTAAAATATAAGCCCAAAATTTAAAAAGGATATGCAGCCATTGTTGTTGTACTGCTATTTTCAATTATTGTCAGTGTCTCAAATATTTTTTATCTGATTGAAACATGGAGTAATTCTTTTCTCTGAAAGTTTCACCACACATAGATTTTATGGTAGAAAAAACAGTAGCAGGAAGAGCAGAGGTGAATTCTGCCTTCTTTCCTCTCCTCCCTTAGCCCCCACCCCAAAGCCATGCTCCTTCATGGCATTTCTTTCTAATGTGTGTGAGCTTGTGTGCTTTGATCTATGGAAGTGTGTGTGAAGGATGACATGGACATGATTTCACTGGTCACATCTGTTTCAAACGATCTATTCTGCTGCAGTTCAGCCAGTAGCACTCCATACCCAGACTGGTGCTTTCTTTTTTCTTCCAATTTAAACACCTATGTCCTTCCATTTACCATTTAAATTGTGAGAATATGAAGAGTATGAAATGTGCTACTAATTGGGTAACTAAAATCAAGGATGTCTACATGAGCTTGGTTTTTCCTTATTGAATGTATGCTTTGCATGGTCCAATTTGTCTCTTAGTTACATAGATGTTCAGTGTGAACACCTGTGTAATTGAAAATGAAACTTTGTCCACAGTATTTAGTTACATGACATTTTTTCCTCCGAAGGGGTGCCTGATAGAGCAGTGTTCATGACAGATAGCATTCAGTGAATGAGGCAGCTGCTTAATTTTTGTCATTGCTGTTCACTGCACAGTCCCTCCGAAACCCAGCATGTGTCAAATTCTTCCATTAATAAAAAAATACATTCTTTTCCTGCAAGTCCTTTTGGGCATACTTGAAAGTCACACAAATCTGAATTAATGTATTGGGAAGTGTTATACCTATTTACTGGATGAGGAGTTGAAACCCAGCGACCTTCCCAAATCAGGAAAGAAGTCTCCATCAGAAGCAATCTCCATCAGTTCCAGTTGGAACTTAAAAGTCATGTAGACCAGTTTATTGTTTTCAAATCTGACCTTTTTATCTTCGATTGTGACTTGTCTTGGTTTAGCCAGACCATCTCCTGCCGCTCAGGTTCTATATACAAACTAATTTCACATGCTTCGTGGACTGTGAAAGGAGTAAGACAAGAAGCCTGAAGAAACAAATTGTATCTGATCATGGAATCTGATTGTGTTAATCCTGTACATCACTCAGATTTTACTAGAAGTTGCTTCTAACATTTCCTTTTTTTTTTTTTTTTTTTTTTTTTTTTTGCAATTTGACATAAAGGATTTCTATGGATGTAAACAACAAATGTATGATTTAACAAGTTCATTATTTCATTTATTTATTTATTTTTCAAATAAGATTATAATAGTGTTTTTTTCAAAAATTCCATGGTTTTATGTTGGACAAGAAAACAATGTAGTAAACTGAAGGAGATACAGCACAGTTCCAATAAATATTTTGGTAATGGTTAACCTTCTTGTTAAGAAAGCTATTTCTGTAATAACTGCTGTAGATTGTCACTTCCTCTACCATTTGGAATAGTACCAAAGTGAATTTAACACTGATGCTGTGAGGGACAAATGCTATGAGAGGTGCAATAGCTAGCAGTATGCTTTATTTGGTATTGAGATGTATGAACAGCACAGCTCAGCAATCATAGATGGTGTTTAGGAACTATTTCTTCCTACCCTTTATTCTTATGTTCTGTGTGCATTTGCTTTTTTTTCCTTCTCTACAAAGACTAGTCCTCATTTGAAACTTATAGCAAGGGCACATAAAATACATAGCTGTGCTTAAGATTTTAAGTGTTTTTGCTTTTATATGCTACTAATTTTTAAATGCCTGTGAAGATATGTGCCATGTGTGATTTTCGCTAATAAACAGGGAATCAACATGGAGCAAATGTGTGTGGCTCAAGATTTAAAACAAAACCCAGGTGAGTTTTCAAGTGTCTGTTTTTCTTGTACTAGACCTGTGTTTCTTCTCTGAAACACAGAGAAGGGAGATTTTTCTTCTCCTTATAGAAGTGTGCGTCCTCAGACAAAGTGGATGATTTCAGTGGCTCTGTATTCTGTTTCAGTGTGTTTGTGTCTATTTTTGTCTGTCTTTTGAGTTGAGACTGCACTGAGCAAACTCATGATCAAGCAAAGGCTGAAACTTTTTTAAGGGGAGGGGAAAAGGCTTCAGAGGCAATATATCTTCTTTTTAGCAACCACAATGTGGCTACTGATGAAATTCTGAGAGAAACAGAACTTTGGTTTTGCAAGTTTGTGGATATGCAGGCACTGAACACTTGGAGATGTTACAGAAACATCCTTCTTGCTTTATTTCTTTCCAGATGGATGAGATAAAAGGCAAAGACAGAGTGATTCTGGCTCTGGAGAAAGACCTCGGAGTCCAGGCAGGTCATACACAGAAACTGCTCCTTCAGAAAGAAGCTTTGGATGAACAGCTTGTCCAAGTGAAGGAGGCAGAACGATACCACAGCAGTCCTAAGAGAGAGCTTCCTGCGGGAGTGGGGGATATCACCGAACTGATGGGAAGCCCGGTAAGAAATCTGTGTTTTCTTCAAATGTTTGACACAGGATAATTGCTGCCTGGGTGTTCACATTGGTTTTGTGGTCACTTTTAAAATGCTAGAAGGACTAATTCAGGGTAAATGGCCCTGCACTCCATTGTGCTGGTTCACTGGTGATTTAGAAATGCCTTGAATCTCTTGAATTTCAGAGAATGTTGAAAAATATGTGGATATAGCACTTTTAGAATTTATATTGTGCATTTCAACTGTGAACTCCATTATTTTCTTAGCTGTGTATTTCATAACTTTAGGAATTATTTTAACCAATGGCAAAAAGATGCTATACTTCTCAAAAACTGTGCCATGTGATTTTAATCTGTGTCCTATGCACCAGATTTTTTCACTTGTAGCTGATAGTAAGAAATCTGGTGAGAAGTAACCAGTAATAGGCGAAATATTATTTATCTAGCTTTTTTAAAAAAATTGTTACACCTTCACATACATTTCACAGGTAGACACTTTTCATGTAATGTATCATATAGCATTTCCACTGGATCTTATTGTTAATTGTTTCAGTTAATTAAAATAAGTTTTCCAGACATTGATATAAAGAGTCTATTTTAAATTTACACAATCTACTTGCTAAATCATATTATTACATTTAGGAATAGTATTTTTTTAAAAAAAAGGTAATTTTATGTATCTGTGTGTTTTTGATGTAAAGGAGCAGCATTTGGATGAACGAGATGTGCGGAGATTTCAGTTAAAAATTGCTGAACTGAATGCTGTAATAAGGAAGCTGGAAGACAGAAATACTCTCTTAGCAGATGAAAGAAATGAACTGGTAAATTAATTAGTAATAACACAGATGGTGACTGGGAGGGCATCTTTATGGTGAAAGAATCAGTGTTGGAAAGTCAGTGTTATAAATTTACAAATTAGTTCTGGTTGGTCTCAATCAATTGTATCTAAATATAACAGAGATTTCTATAGAAGAAATTCACTTTTTGACCATAAAATGGATTGAATCTCTCTTGCTCCAGAAAAATAAAACTTTATAAATTTATTTTGGGGTCATTGTGATCAAATTAACTGGTAGCTTGCCTGTGGCACTGTGTAATAATGTTGTGTAAAACATGCATAATCTATGCATTTCAATTACTGTATTAATCTTTTTTAAATTTGACATTGGTTTAGGGATATGCTTGTGCTAGCTAGGAGTTAAAGCTTTCTTGTCTAAAGCTTTCTTGTGCTGAAGAAGAAAAATATGCCAATTCTCAAGAGAAATCTCATAAGTAGGTGAAATTATCATAGGAGAGTGATAGTAACTTACAAAAGAAAGGATATGACAAGAATTTTAAGAATGAATTTTATTAGCCTGCATCGCTACTTAATTGCTTGTACTGAGGTTAACAGTAAAACTCCCATTGACTGCAATGGGAGGTGAGTTTTAGCAGTAAGAATTTTTACACATGTCCTCTTATGATGACCTATTTCTGGTGGCAGAAGAAAAGATTTTTCATTCTAATCAGAAATAAATTTTCCCTCATGCAACCTATGCATCTCATTCTAAAATAATGCTATTATGTATGGTGAGGGAAGAAGGGGAGGACACTCTTGCCACTTGCCAGTCCTATAGATGAGTGAAGCATTGACATCTTCCTCCTTGCCTTGTCAGACTTAGCTCTTCATGTTGAGATATGAAAGCTTTGCTTTATGATGAAAGGACTTAATTTAGTTATGATATCTCAATGACTACCAGAAGAGCTAATTTTTGAAATTTTCTTGACCAACATCTTGGCTGAATCTAGCTTAGTGAAGTAAATTCAACAATGGCAGACTAAAATGGATGAATTGAGAACATAATTGTGTCTTTTTCTTTAACCTTTTCCTATTTAAATAGCTGTATAGTCTAAACTGCCCTTTTGTGTGACAAAATTGATTCCTCAGTAACAATTTAAGTTTCTTGAGGTAGGAAGAACATGAGTTTTAGCCTGGGTACAGTTTGCCATTTTTCCTACTTTGCCTAGGTGCTGAGCGTTTATTGTTTTAGTTTTTTTTTCCCCTGACGCTTACTGCTACAGTTGCTTTTCTTTGCTCTATACTCTCAAGAACATCTTCACTTTTTTCAAGATTGCATTGTATAAAGACAATATAATTCATCCCCCTGATCTTTTCTGTGGACACAAGTCATTCAAAACATCCTTGAAGAATGCTGAAATACTGCGACTTCTATCCTTCAGTGTCCCTCTAGATGGAGGGCATGTATGACTCAGCCAAGTGCTCTTCTTGATGCTTGACCTAGAGGCATAAGAAATATATTTTGGAAAAGATATGGAGAAGATTTTGTCATATTGTGAGACAATTTTACATAAAACTAGTAATGTCAGTAAGCTCATATGATTAAGCACCATGAAAAATAATTTTCTTCTGAGAATGAAACAGAAAACCAAATACTCAGTGAAATTATCTCAGGAGAAAGATTATCTTTTTTTTGTTTCCAGTTAAAACTCAGTAAATTGAAAAATCTTTTGATTGGAAAAAGTAGATTTTTTACAAACAAAACAACTCAAGGAGTAATGAAATAAAAAGAGTGAAATATTGAGTATACACAAATGCAAAAAAAAGGCAGTAATTTGCTTCACATAATTGTCTAACATCATAAAACCACAGGAACAAAATTGAGCAGCTTGAAAATGTCAGCAGAATGCTGGATTGAATCTGTGCCTTCTGGCTGACTTTCTCATTGCTCTAGTTACACATTAGGTATAGGGTTTTTAAAGTAGAATAGGAAGAGCTTGCTCCAACCAAGGGATAGTGAAAACGACTACGCTCACAAGAAGCTTATGTACAATGAGATAAGTTTACCAAGAAATCACTTTTATGGACCATCATGAGTGTTTTCCAAGAGCAAAATCCAGTGAACAGTGACTAGTGTATTTGTAGACTGTTCTAAAATGCTATTTCTTATTTGCTTAGACTCCTATAGTTAGTTCAGCAGTAGTCTATATCAGATACCACTTAACAGAAGTTCTAAACTTTATGAATGAAGGAAGAACACACATATTTCTTCTTTCCTACAAGTATAAACTAAAGCACAGCTAACTTTTCCATTGCCATTTGCAGCTGAAACGTTCTCGGGAGACAGAAAGTCAGCTGAAGCCTCTGGTAGAAAAAAATAAGAGGATGAGCAAAAAAAATGATGATATGTTGCAATGTATCCAGAGAATGGAAGAGAAAATAAAGAATCTGTCAAGGGAAAATGTAGAATTGGTAAGTAATCATCTCTGACATCATATTATAAGAACACGTTGCATGCAGTTACTTTTGAGATGGAAGTGCTTGTGTGGCTTTTACACTAATAAAGACATTTCAGAGTCTTAAATTCAGCCAATGCAACTGAATATTCATACTCTTAAGTTCAGAGTGGTGTGTGCTTTGTGTTGTGTCAGCTCACGCAGATTAAGGGAAGGGATCAGGGATAGATAAAATGTGTTTAGAAGCTATAATAGCTTTAGTAAATGCTGCGTTTATGATTAGAAGTCAGAACTGAATTTGAGTGCATGTGCCAAATGCTCTACTATGTTAGATTATTGAGTTCACTTGTCTGCTAATTTTGTCACAGAGTATGTTCTTTGATTCTGAATTAAAATATTTTATGTGAGATATTAACACTGAGGCATGCAGAATGTGTAATACTATTTTTGTTGAAAGAGGCCTTATGTTGTAGTGCAGTATGCACTGATGAGTCAAAAAAATTCTTGATTACTACAACACACATGAGAATTTTCCTCCTGTTCCAGCAACACACTCTAAAACATTCTTTTTGTTTATTTTTTTCAATTTTATTTTAATTTTTGTAGAAAGAGAAGTTATCTGCACAACCAGCACTGAAGAGGCACACGTCTTTGAATGATCTCAGCAGCACACGGGAAGAACAAGAAATTGAATTCCTCAGACTGCAAGTCAAAGAACAGCAGCATGTTATTGATGATCTCACAGTGGTAATGCTTTTGACTGGTATTCATACCTGCATGCACACACATCTATAGGCAAGCTAAAGATTTGAGATCAATATTTTAATGCCAGTTGCTGTAGTGATACAGAAATAGTTCTTTGACATCAAAAGGTTCTTGTTATTTCTTAGGTGGTGAACAAATTTTTTTGGAATGTGTATGAATCTCTGTATTGTAAAATATTAACCTATTATGAGCTGCTTGTGAAAAGAAATACATCAGTCCATCCACCTTACTTACAAAATTGGCTGTCAACAACTAAGGAACTGGGAGGAAGGTTTCAGAACTTAATGACTGAAACTTCTTGGTTGTAGACCCTGTTGCAAACCCAACCACTCTCCTGATCTAGAGTTTCTCCTAAAATAAAGGAACACGCAGAATGGCATTCATTTCACCTCACTAAGCATCTCTGAGCTGGACACACTAGCTGTCTTTATAACAAATGGAGAGAAATATGCATGATTCATCTGAACAAAGGCAGCAGCATAGTTTAAGATTAGAATTGCACAGCTGCTACCCTCTGACTGTGAAGATCACTTAAGATCACGCTCATAGGTGTTTGCACTGTTTGATCAGGACTCCTTTGAGTTGTGTTAGAGTTGTCTAGTGCTATTTAGTGCAATGTCTGTTACACTCTTCTGATTCCGGTAAGAAATGATGTATCATCTCTGAGAGACCCTTACCCTTCTGGAACAGCATCTGGAACTCAGGCAGACTATTCTAGAGCATCTCAAATGACACTACTGACTTCTACAAAATGATAACATGAATTTAAGATTTTTCTGCCTAAATAAAAAATGAAAAAATTGGATACAACATTGAAGATAAAAATAGAAAATCCAAAAAGATAAAACAATGAGATGTGTTATTACTCTGTCTGGAACATTGTCTCTGTTCCTGGCAGTTCCTCTGAGATTTTGACCCAGGATTTCTCTCTGTTATCAGTCCGAAGATTGATGTCTGCATGCATTCTCCAGTGTCACAGTGCTACAAGCAGTAGGATGTTACTCAGGCACTATGATGTAGGGTCTGATTCACAGAGCAATGCTGCTTTACCTTCCAAATACAACCATACAGGCAGGAACCGTGACATGATATTAAGTTCTCAGTATATAGCAGATATAATCTCACTTATATTTCAGTGTAAAGTTGCTGTGAAAGTACTCTCTTTTTACTGTCTCAGCTAGTAATCTGAGAAAATATATTGTATCCTGACTTGGGTCAACTAGTATTTACTTGTGTTTAGTGTTAAAGTAAAATAAATAAATATTTTAAAATATGGTTTCATTTTGCTTTGTTTCCTATTTACATATACTTTTTCGCTGTCAGAAATAAGTTAAATTATTAAATAGGCTACTGCTTTGGTTGGCAGTACAAACTAATTGATGCTTCACCTTGGCCATGAAGGCAGTGGAACTCTGCACTTCCATTGCGCTTTTCAGTTATCTTTTCTGGCTCAAACCACACCTTTACAGAATATAAATGTATCCTAATTATCAAGAATGACCCACATGTCACATACCTGATTAATACAAAAGTCATCAGCATACCTCCAGCTGAGACCAATATGGTACACAGAAATAAGAACGATAGTTTTGGGCAATAGAGTTGTCTGAATTCATTAGTATTGTCATTTGTAGGGTATCTTTGATGCTGGTGAAGCCATATAAGCTTGAGTTCTCCCACAGCAGTGGTTTTCTGGTGAATTCTTAAAAGGAAAGCTGTCAAGATAAACTCAGATGATTGCAAAATATGTTAGTGATTCAGCAAATGGTATTTTTTAATTGGCATTGCTATTGTTCTGGTAGCTTGATGTATTATTAAGACAGTAAATTAAGCAATCTTCTTAAAAACAAGATTAGAAAAAGGGAGGAGTGGGAGATTTTTGCAGTGTTTGTTCTTTCTGCACTAAAGTGAGAGGAAAGACAGAGTGGGAGGACTACCTAGTTTCTCCAGCTATTTGGAGGCTTCCTTGGAATGTAGGAGACCCAGGTTAAAGCAAGGACTGTGCCTTAACCAGGTACCTTAGGAGGGAGCATTATTCTTCAACGCTGTCTTAAAATTCAGCTTTGTATTTTCAGCTTGTGCTTAATATATTAATTATTCTGCAGCTTAAAATATCTGCTCCATTCTACCTTGGCAGTCATTACTTTTCCTTATTCTGAAGACCACTTTTGTTAAAGATGCTATATAGTTTATTGTGCTTTTCCGAATTATTTTGTAATTTCCACAACTTTGTTCCTGGAACAAGGTAATATTTTTATTGTGATTTCCACTGGGAGCTTCCTTTTTGTCCAGTTTCTGAACTGACTATAAAGCAAATAATTCTGAATAGAGTAATACCATGCAGTGTGCAATAATGGCTACAGAAGCAGTTGGAACTGCTGACATTCTTTTAAAAACAGAGATATTGCAAACAAAGATGCAGAGAGCTAAGGAAAGAATCAGGAAAAAAGCAAGGAGACAGATCACCGGCTTCCTGTGGGTTTTTTTTGCTTGTCCTCTCCTTTGCATTTTTTACCTTCTCTTTTTCCTCTTCTCCTTTGGAATTCAAGGCAGTATTCTTGGGCTTGAATGTTCATAAACCCTTTATTTTTTGCAATTATAACCTCTTCATATTATGATATAGTTAATTATTATCTTCTTCCAAGGTCACAGTAGAAAAAAGACACTGACTGAGTTGACACAGACTAAGTGAGAGTGCCTTTGGATTTGAGATTTCTGACCTGCAAGGATAAGTCATGTGTAATGCCCTGTCTGCATATGCATGGCTATATATCACAGTATGCCTGATACAATGACGTGTCATTACTAGGCTGGACTCAGTTTTGGCTACCAACCTGCTTCGTCAGGATGGGTGAACACTGGAGTGAGAATGTGAATTCTGTTTCCATAGTGAGCTTCTTGGTAAAAGAGCCAAAATAACTGTCAGAAACCTGTGCCCAGTATTTAACAAAGTCTTTTCTTGCCAACTTCCCATCAAGTGTGTAAAGTATACGGCTGAAGGTTTATTTGCTAAAGGGATAAAGCTGCAGTACAGCATGATGTTATCCCAACATGGCTTTATTCAAAAGGATAAAGATATTGTCTTTGAGGTAGCTTTACTGTAGGCTTTCAGAAAATTTGAATTATCTAAATACATATTTTAAAAGAAACCCATACCAAAATGTTCTCCTTCCTTCCAGGAGAGGGAACGGTTATTACGATCTAAAAAACAGAAGAGGAAAAGTCTGAAGCCTCCAAAGGTGAGCAAACGCTTGGTTCTCCGTGTGTTTTGGTTGTTGTGAACAGTGCTTGTTTGAAATATTGCCTGAAATTAGAGCTCTGCTTCAAATAATGATGAAATTTCATATAATTCTTCTATTTTTTCTAGTGAGTGCTTATTAACTTTTTCTAAGGATAATTCAGGAACTGAAAGTTTTGTACTGTACACCAGTGTTGTTTTGATTTTTACATTAAATAAAAAATATAATTACACTTTTAGCCATCGTGGCCTAAATATTCAGGTGGCTTGAGGAATAAATGATACAATGACTTGAAACAACTACCATTTCAAAGGACAAATGCTGTCCTTTTTAAAGAAAATAAACTCTTTAAACTACTCATATGAAGTTACTGCTTAATCACGATTGATTAAGCTTCAATTCATGCTAGGGATGATTCTCTATGTAATATGTAAACAGTAAGGAGATTGTAACTATTTTTCTCTAGTAACTATTTTACTCTATAAAGCAAAGCACAAGAGAAAAATTTAGGTTGTAGAAACAGAAGTTTTGCTTCTGAGCAAAGCAGAAGAGTGTACCTTTAGTGTTTATTGTAACACCTGCTTAAAGTAACTAGTTTTGCTGCATAAAGTTTTTTGTGAAGTTTAACATCAGCCACCTGGAGCATGTGAGGGGAGGAGAATGGGGTAAGAGAGAAAAAATGGAAGTGAAGAGTGGAGAGATGATTATCATCTGTATGATAGCTTAAGATACATTCTGTCATAAATGGGTGCTTGTTGTCAGTGTGTTCTGCATAGTATATTCCTGGTGACCTCCAGGTGGTGCTTCTTTATTGCTCTGCCTTCTGTGATACCTGTGTTCTGAAAGATTTATTCTTTGGAATTCTCTGTTTCGCTGTAGTTTCTTCAAATTATGCTTCGAATAATGATGTGTCTGTTACGTATGAAGAAAGAAAAATTAATAGTCACAATTAATCTTGCATATGTATTTCTGTTATGCAGTGGAAGGCTGTTAGATGCCAAATATATTTACAGTAACCCTGAACCATTCTTTGTTGGTGTAGTATATCTGGAAGTTTGTGTGTTGAGAGCAAGTTTAAAAACAGACATAACATTAAAAAAAAAAGTAACTAGTAATGTAAATTTTATAGTCCTCTCTAATTATTAGACCTTATCTAATTTTAAATTAATTGTGTAAGATCTCTTGCTAAATTGTAAAGTTCCTAATGAAACAAAACTAGTTAATTTAGTTTTTTAGGAGTTGATAACTAGTGATGCTAATTTCTATAGGCTGAAAACTTCCATAATTACTCATTTATGTCTTAAAAATGTTCTGTGTTAATAGAACTTCAGCTGAGCTAGAGTCTGTACCCATTCTTTTTACCTGTCTTCTCTTAAGCAAACTGCTGCCTTTTTGATATCTTCTTCTTTTCCTTATTGAACAAAGCAGAGTTAAACAACATGAGCATGATACTATTAAAATATTTCACACAGAATCACAGAATGTTGGGGATTGGAAGGGACCTAGAAAGATCATCTAGTCCAATCCCCCTGCCGGAGCAGGAACCTAAATGAGATCATATATAATTGGGAGACTTTTACAGACATTACTGCAAGAATTGTGTGCATATAAGCACCAGAGTTAGTAGGGGCATGCTTCTTATTTCTGCTGTGATAGATACACCATAAAGAACAAAATAATCAGTAGCAGACATAAGTCCCACTGGTTATTCCATCCCCTGTCCATTATCTCTTCAGTGCCCATATAAAATTAGATATTTGAAATTGTATTTGATGCTATCTCCTCAAAGGAAAAGCAGGACTATTAAAAAAACCAACAAACCACAAGAGAAAACGAGAAAGTTGTGAGGGTAGAGTGAATGGGGTTATATGTACTATACTAGTTATACTATATATACTATACTAGTTATTATATATCTATATATATAGTTTCTAAATGAGCTAATTTCTTATTTTCATGGAGCAGATAATCTTGAGTGCTGTCACACAGCACCCACAGGCCAACCTGGTGATCAGCCCCAGTCAACATGGGTTTATGGAAGGCAGGTCCTGTCTGACCAACCTGATCTCCTTCTAAGGTTACCTGCTTAGTGGACAAGGGAAAGGTTGTGGATGTGGTGTACGTGGACTTCGGTAAAGCCTTTGACACCGTTTCCCACAGCATTCTGCTTGAGAAACTGGCTACCAGTGGCCTGGACAGGCACATGCTCTGCTGGGTTAAAAACTGGCTGGATGGCTGGGCCCAAAGAGTGGTGGTAAATGGAGTTAAATCCAGCTGGAGGCCAGTCACAAGTGGTGTTCCCCAGGGCTCAGTGCTGGGGCCAGTCCTGTTTAACATCTTTATCAATGATCTGGATGAAGGGATCGAGTGCACCCTCAGTAAATTAGCAGATGACACCAAGCTGTGTGGAAGTGTTGATTTGCTTGAGGGTAGGAAGGCTCTACAGAGCGATCTGGACAGGTTGGATCATTGGCTGCAACCAACTGTATGAGGTTCAACAAGGCCATGTGCCAGGTCATGTACTTGGGTCACAGCAACCCCATGCAATGCTACAGGCTTGGGGAGGAGTGGCTGGAAAGCTGCTTGGTGAAAAGGCCCTGAGGGTGTTGGTCACCAACCAGCTGAACATGAGCCAGCAGTGTGCTCAGGCAGCCAAGAAGGCCAATGACATCCTGGCCTGTGTCAGAAACAGTGTGGCCAGCAGGACCAGGGAAGTCATCCTTCCCCTGTACTCAGCCTTGGTGAGGCCACACCTTGAATACTGTGTCCAGTTTTGGGCCCCTCACTACAAGAAGGACATTGTGGCACTGGAGCATGTCCAGGGAAGGGCAACAAAACTGGTGAAGGGGCTGAAGCACAAGTCTTATGACGAGCAGCTGAGGGAAGTGGGGTTGTTTAGCCTGGAGGAGAGGAGGCTGAAGGGTGACCTTATCACTGTCTACAACTACCTGAAAGGAGGGTGTAGCAAGGCAGGTGTGTGTCTTTTATCCCAGGTAACTAGTGACAGAACAAGAGGCAATGGCCTTAAGTTGCACCAAGGGAGGTACAGATTGGATGTCAGGAAAAATTTCTTCACAGGAAGGGTTATCAGGCACTGGAACGGGCTGCCCAGGGAAGTGGTTGAGTCACCATCCCTGGAGGTATTTAAAAGACGACTAGATGGGGTGCTCGGAGATATGGTTTAGTAGTGGATAGGTACAGTTGGATGCAGTGATCTCAAAGGTCTTTTCCAACCAAACGATTCTATGATTCTTAAGGAAGGAAAGAAGTAATCAATTATACATTTATTAATGTCCTGTTACCTGAGACTGTATAAACCTGTAGGCTATTTGCATGTATATGCAGTGTTTAAACACTGTTGATGTTAGCTTTTAAAAATCCAGTCCTGGCATACAGGCTGCTTTATTTTAAAGTCACCTGTGTGGTCCTTTGAGGATGAAAATTCTCAGAGGAAGCTGTGTTTCCCACAGTTTTCCAGCAGTTTTTTATTTAAACAATCCATATAGAATGGGCTGCTTACCCAGATGAGCTGTTAAGATTGTACCATCTTAATCTTCTCTGGTTTTACAGCCTATCTCAGGAACCCGGATGAAAACAGTAGAATTCAGTGCTTGAATAGATGTCATTAATGGAGATGAGATGCAGACATCTCACTCTGGGCAAAGTGGTAGCATTAGGTGGTGACTGCTCTCCTCTGGAAGTAGATACCTAAATAGGCCATATGAGTTTTGTCCTAAAATTGCCTGTTTCTCCCCATGGAGTGTAAAGGCAGTCTGAGATGACTTGCTTTATATATAGTCATGCACAGTGCAAGTGTGCTTCTGTCTCTGATCTGTGCAAGATTTTTACATCATACAGATGATAACTTATATATTATAGTAGAAGAACTGATGGGTGTATCTGTCCTAATCACTCAGAAGGAGAAATTATTGACATAAATCTTTGGCTTTACTTTTCTTAGATTTGTTAAACGTAAAATTAGCATTAATACGTGAATTATCAAATTTGTCTGTTGGAGCTGGATCTGTTTCCAGCTGTGTACTGCATCCCTTGACAAAGTGAAAAAGGAAATAACTGATGATAATTAGGTTTCATGAATGTGGCCAAATAAGCTCAGACTAGAAGGTACAGAAAGATGCCTTTTTTGTTCTAATAAACGCTTGGTGCTCAGGGTGAAGACTTACACTCATCTACTGTTGCAGCTTCTCCTAAATGAGTACTTTACACTCCACATTACTTAATTTTCAAGGTACTCTGACTGGACAGTGTCTGTGTTTGTTCTGTAGTATATTTTCCTGACAGTGATTCCTGTTAGCTGGAGCAGAATCTGCAGCATGCCTTCCTCCATCTTTAAGACAGCTTGTGTGAATGATCTGTCAGGTTGGTCCCGTAGCCTTTATAGACTGATTGGGTCTAGATAACATCAGTTCAGCTGAGAAGCATATTTGAAAATGTTTTGGCAGTTTTTTTGTTGTTTCGTTTTTGGTTTTTTGCAATTAGGTGCCTGTGTTATTTCTGGAGCTGTGTAGGTGCACTAGGTTACTGTTGCTAGTGTAGCTTTGACTGAGCACTTTTTTAATTACCCAAGGGCATAGGAGCCCATAGAACAGCACTGGCAGCTGGCTTGGGTTCCCCAAGGAAAGGAGCAGCATAGTGGGATGGGGCTTTATAATCTCTGTGGCTGCAGGGTGTTCAGAGGAATAGTATAGTAACACTGTATAGTCAGGTAATGTAGGATAGTTTTCTCTGAAGTGAAGCAGCCTCAGCTGATAGAAGTTGTTTTTTTACTTTAACATGCCATTGGACTTGTTAGGAAAAAGATGTAGCAGAGGTGAATATTTTGCTGTTTAAAGAGTGCTTCTTGCTGAGTGTGGTGGGTGGTTTGTTTGTTTTGTTTTGTTTCTTTCTGATTTTGGGAGTGAAATAACCAAGAAACTCCAGAAACAGAATTTTTGTGGGTTTGTTTATTTTTGACACATAGAAAGATGTTACAGTGATTCCATGACTGATGGAGTCACGCATTTGAAAATAAGGCATAATTGCCCAGTTTGTTTGGAAACTGCAGGACTCTATGGATTTGTTTCTTTATGTAAACTTTTAATTAACAAATGATTTTCACGATAGTGGATGGTCAACTTCTGGTGTGATGGAGTTCATAGTTCTTGTTTTATACTTTTCTTTTTTTGTCTGCCTCTGTGCTTTGGTGTGCCTGTATTTTTCTGGCTGCCAAGAAATGACATATAAGCATGAAGGTAAGAAGTTACTGATTAGCTCATCTGATTGCATTAAAAGGAAATTCATCTTGAATCATTTTCATCATGTTAGATTAAGTACTTGAAAATGAGATATTTAAATGTAAAGTGAAACTACTTTAGCAACAGAGAAATCAGATTATTTATATGTTAGTGTATCTAATACAAACCATTAAAATATGAGGGTATATTGAAATTTGCATATAATATGGTCTATGTGTCACTATTGATTTATAACATTCTAAACATTGATGTTTACTGAGCACCATACTTTAGCAGAAGCATTAATACTTGAGTTATAAAGACCTAATGCATAATTTTACTTTAAAATTATGTGAAAACATTGATATAAATCCACATGAAAAATACTTGCTATTAAATGCATGGCAGTAGTCAGTGGAAATTGGAATTTTTCAGCAATTTACAAGTTATTATTTAACAAATAAGAAGTAACAAATGTACAAATCAATATAAAGGAATCTTTAAGTTGTTAATTGAGAATGTTCCCATTTTTCAGAAAAGTTTGAATTAAACTTAAATGAAAATACTGTATAGTTGCAAAAATCCAGTGAGTATTGTACATATTTTTATAAACTTTTAAAAAAACATTGTGATTCAGATGTCCTTTTTTTCCTTTTTTTCTCTCTACAGCTGTTCCCTTACCAGTTAATTTGTATTGGTTTTGCTGTGAATCTCTTCTTGTAGTTAGTTGCTTCAGATACTAGATCATCAACACTGAACCCAGCTATTTTATAATTATGTCATGAAGCCATTTATACATGTGCAATGAATGTATAATGGTTAAATACCTTATCTTTATTTCAACAGAAAGTATATGCTCCACAAAATTATAAATGTACAGCTTCTCTAAAGAGAAAGGAGTCATTACAAATAAATAAGTGGTTCACTCGTAACTCAGAATATTATGGGAAGTTTGTATAGCATTTAACAGTTTTTGACTTCTAATTCTCCTTCCAGTGTTGGGGTTGTTTAGTGTGATGAGAAACACTACTTTTCTTGCATAATTCTCTCCCATCTAGTAAACAAGTCATTTGTTAATATATGCAAATTACTTTTTCTTACTTGTTACTAGTGAAATGTTTAAATGCAGCCACTATCTTTTGTCAGAATAATGGCATTGCTTTAAGTATCTTCTCAAACTGTATACATTTATGTAAAATCAAACCCACTGTTGTTTTACTATTGTTTTTTTCACTCCTTGAAACAGTGTGTGTGGGTGTGTGCCTGCAGGGTTAAAGGAAGGTACATAAGTTGAGTTATCTACAAAAGTAGTTGTAGTTTGAGATATAGCAAAGAGCCCCACAGATATGATAAGTCTTATTGTCAGTTTTAACTAAGCTGCTGTCGACCTTCCTGGTACTGTGTTCTTTGTGCCATATATGTGATAATAAATTGGAGTTTTGTTCTCCATCTTTTAGAAGTCTGTTCTACCAGCCTTTTCAAACTCAAGACTTGACTCTTGTTTACTTTATCAGCCCTCAAGTCTACACTTTATTGCAGGTATTGTTTGAGCTTTGATCAAGTGTGTTTGTCATTTTTGAGTCCAGGCACTCTTGAAGCAGAAGGCATGAGCAGGGTCAGTTGTTCTTCAGTCCTCTGAGTTGCTTGTCCTTAGCTAGGTTCCTCCAAAGCACAGGCTAGTTGTTCTGAGCCCCATCCACAGACAAACTGGTGTGGGCTGAAGAGCAGGATATAAAAGTATTGGCATAAGAGTCTACATGCAGCTTTGTTTTGGGTTTACTCTCAGCATCATTGGGTGAAAGGTATCCACACTGCAAAATGAGGAGGCGCTTTTCATGAAAGTCTCTTGTGTTTTGTTTACCTGCCATCATCTTCTTTACCTCCATATAATCTACCTTCATCTTTAAGAAACTATCTGCTCATCAGTTTGGAGTCATAAAGTTCTTCCTGATGCATTGACCTGGCAAGCCAAACTGTAAATTTGTCTTACAACTTGAAGGTAGTACCATATCTTTACCCTATTTTCAACTCCCAATATTTACTTGTAGTATTACTGTTAGATTATTGTAGGCTGTGACTGTTACTCAGTGTGGGAGAAATGCTGGATGGGCCATCTCCCAAGAACTAATTGCACTTAAGTTTTTGTGGTAACGTTTTGTACTTATGAGAGAGGACCCTGAAATGTTTGTAATTCGAGTGTGAGAGAACGCATTAGGTGTCTGGATAAGCCTTAAACTTGTTCCCCATGTCCTTTGTTTTGTTAAGAAGGACAGAATGGTGAACATACTGGTATAGCATGTGAATGCTGGAGGAAAGGATTAAATTATCCCAGGGAAGTTCTTGTTTCGAGCATCTTAGATATAGCTCTGCCTGGTGAAAGGATCAAAGTGCTTCCTAAACAACTGAGAGAAGAGCAATGTGTCTTTACAAGGTTTTAGTACTATGACTACAATCCTTTTCTTTTCTTGTGAATATACAAGATAGTAGTCCAATACCTTGCAAAAGGAAGGTTGTTTCTAAAGATTGTTCAGAAGTTCTTTGCTGTCTGTGCTTCTTTGTATCTATCTGTATGCATATGGATAAGCACATTCCATCTGGAAAAGATGTGGCTTTTAGGTTTTTGGGTGGTTTTTTTGAGTGCATAACATCCATTCAGAAAGATATTTTAGTAGAACCACTTAATTTAAAAATGCAGTCTGAATGAAATTTAAAAAGTATTATGTGAAGGGCTCACCTTAAGTGAAGCAATTAAGTTGTTCAGAACAAGGCCTTGAAGCTGTCTTTGGTAGTTTGAGTGGAATTAGCTGTACTGTGAAACAATTACGGAGTTGTTTAGTTTACAAGTGATGAGACTGTGACCTGGTGTACTGTGGTAGCCAGGACTTTGGACTGTAAATGGAGTGCATGGTTCTGGTTTTTGCTAGGCACCAAGTCACACCTACGAGCTTGATTTTATAGTACCACTTAAATCAAGATAGCATATTTTGGCAGTTGATGAGAGCTGTGCTGAGCCAAAAGAATATATTAAGCATTGTGGAGCTTTGTGAGAAAGTGAAGACAGTACTTCGTAGACATACTGGAAAAATGTATAAAGTTATATAGGTCTAGAAGACTGCAGGGAAAGGTAAATATTTGGAATTCATTATGAGATAGAGCATCACAGATAAAATAAATTGAATGAAGTTTATTGAATGAAGTTGATAGCTCACAATTCCACTCACTTTGGCAGTTTGGCTTTGCTGAGATGTAAGATGTCTGATGTTCTGAATTAATAATAACTGATAGGTTTTTTTCATCCCTTAGGCTTTTTTTATTGAACAGGGCGAATACCTTCTTGCATGCAACCTGTGGTTCATATTAAAAGAAAACAAACAAACAAACAAACAAAACCGAGAAACAAACTGTTACATCAGGTTAGAGGTAGACAGATTTTTCTTCATCTTCTCAGAGCCACCTCTCTCCACGAGCCTCCCTGTATAGAACATTTTATAACTTGACTCCATTTTTCCAGCAACACTCTTTTGTTTTTTTTTTTTCTTAATTTTCATGCTACTCTGAATTCGAATTGGTTTATTAGAACGCTTGTATAGTGTAAAAAGTTAGGCTTTCTATTCATTAATAACAGTTAAAATATGTTATTGTTATTCTGGAAGGAAAAATACCTGAAATACTGTTTTTCTAGTTAAATACTTAAGCAATTTTTTTTAACAGCAGAATTTTCTGTGGAAATTTGCTACTTTCTGAGTGTATGTTAGGAAACTGATGGAAAGAGGGATCTTAAAATGGTGAAAGAATTATTGCATTTTTCACAATGAATATTGTACTATTTACTTCCATTGGCTATTAATTTTATCTGTTTTTCTGTAAGCATGCATTTAATTGATTACATTGTGTAAAATTTTTAAAATCTGCATTGAAATACTGGTTTTCCCTAAGCATAGTTTTTCTGGTTAGTCATAATATTGGAGCAAACTGAAAAACTTGAGAATGATTGTATTGAAAAAATAAATAGAAAGTGGTAATTTATACTTTTAAGTAGGATTTTGCAAAAAAATAATACTTTTTTTTTCTTTTTAAAAATTATTTATTAATGATTAAATTTGTTCTACATTATTCTTCAGAATATTTGTTCCCGTTTGGTTCCACATCTTATATGTTTCATCGTACTGGGTTACTTTCTTCTGAATAGATATTGCGTTCTCTACCATGAATCTTGTAAGATCTGTATGATATTGGTAATTAGATTTTATACTTTTGCTAAAGCATTATTCTACTGGCAATTACCCAGTGCTACGTGAAGTTCAGCTCTTTGAGGTTCTTACACAAATGATGTTGAAAAAGCTCATTTAATCAGAGAATAAGGTTTTACAGTGGAACCTTTTTTCTTCCTGAATACTATGGTATTTAGGTAGAAATAATGGTCTGAGAAGACCTTGGCTGGGTCATTAGGGTTTTCCAATTGTTTTGCTAGTAACTAAGAAAAACTAACTTTTCAGAGGCATGTTGTGGAGACATTTTTTGGATTTGATGAAGAATCTCTTGATTCAGAAACATCATCTGTAACTTCATATAACACAGATAAAACAGACAGGACACCAGCAACACCAGAAGAAGATTTGGAAGATGTAAGTAATAACTGATTTTTTCTTAAGTTTTATAAAAATTGACGTGAAGTATAAATGCAAACATTTTTTTTCAGCTATTCTGCCACAGGAACTATGAAAGGTTCCTATTTAGCAGAGAATTGCTTTGGTTTGTTTCAAGTCCAGTAACACATGCACAGTCATTGCAATAGAAGTAATAAGATAAAATTCTGCCTGATCCATTTGGCACATATTGGGCTGAGAATTTATTTTTTTTTCTCAAACCCTTTCTTATTAGTCAAAAGAAAATGAATAGACATGTTGCTTTGCCAAAAGTCAATAGTTACTAGACAATAGTTTGCCTTTCAACCTTATAATTTATTTGACTGTTTTGATGCAACTAGGATTTTCTTCTGTACTTAAAATACTCAGAGAGGCTTTTGCAATTCATTACGGCTTACATGATCATAGGTAGTAAATACCCACTGACATGTTTTGTCTCAGCTCTGTGATATACAGTGCAGCTGACCTACTTTAATAGATTCCAGGGCTGAGGACAAAGCATGAATTAGATGTTCTTTTTCATCTTTTTTTTCCTGTTCACTAACTTGTGGTTAATACTCCTCGGTCACAAAAAGCTTCCTATTTTTCTAGGTTTAATATCTAATAATATTGTAATCTGTTTTCCTTGGAGCTCGAATTCCTGGGGCAAAATTTATTTCAAAGGGAGGACGTTTCTTGCCCTCAGTATTATAGGAAAGACCTTGAAATTGTTGGTCTCAGTTGCTCAAAATTCAAAGAAAATTGAGACATTAAAAATACTTCATGTTTAAAAAAATAGTTAAAAACATCTTATGGCTTTTGAAGTATAATTTCTTTGTTAGCATGCTTGTGATGGTAAAATGCTTTACCCTGGTATTGTAAGAGTAAGGAGGGAGTAATGGACTGTCTGACAAACAGTCCGAACCCCTTCTGAAGCCCCTGTGGCTCTGGAGTTGCTGAAGACAAATGTGGATAGAACTGTTCCCTCTCATCTTTCCCCAGTCGGTTTCTTCCCATTCCTCTACATTACTGCCTTATATAATAACTTACACTGGCCTGAAATTTTAAGGTAGACTCAGTTACTGATCTCTGCATTTCTACATCATCCTCAAATCATCCTTCCTTCCATTTCCACTTTTTTCAGTTTTTTAAACCTTTATTAAACTTTGAAACTCCGTATGAGTTGTGTTGCTTGTTGTGTTTGTGAGTCTGTCTGTCTCTTAAAACAAAACTGTTATCATACATATTTATACAGAACCACTTTTTTTGCCCCTCTTCATTCAGAGCACACCTAAAGAAGAAGCAGAGCTAAGGTTCTGCCAGCTAACAAGGGAGTATCAAGCTTTGCAAAGAGCATATGCGTTGCTTCAAGAACAAGTTGGTGGAACCCTGGATGCAGAGAGAGAAGCAAGGGTAATTTTTAACTGAAATTTCTTTTAACTCTGCAATCATTGAAAAAACTGAAAAAACTTGGAATAGCAGGAGATATCTTTGTAGGTCAGTGAAACACTAGGCACAATGTTTTTGAGGGTTAGAGGATATTATCAGTAGGATGACAATTTAGATTCATCTGGTGTGAACAGAACAAAGATATCATTATACTTTATTTTTGCATGCATTATTACTAAAGATTTCAGTAGTAAGACAGTGTTATTGAGAATGATATTCTAGTTGAACTTGCAATTTGGATAGCAACATGATGGATATAAAATTAATCGGAGAATAGGTTGTTCTAAGTACTTAGGTACTTTTATCATGTAAGTATATTAAAAATCTGACCCAAATCTGACAAAGGAAGTTTTTCTTCAAGTATTTTGTCAAATACGTGAAATCATAATTTGTTTTTAAAAATCTCAGTTTGAGAGTATTCTTTCACTAAAAAATACATCACTAACTGTTGTTCCTATTAAGCCAGCATGTGTGATTGTTTACTGCCTCTGACATAAAGGATCTTTTTTATCCTTATAGCAATCTCTGTACTATAGGTATTTGAGGTGTGAGAGTATGTATTCTGTTTTCATTTGCCCTTCTGCCACCACTGTATTAAACCATTTAGTGAAGAGATGAGGTCAGCAGAAGTCCTACTAACATCTTCCATTCAGTTTCTTTTCCAAACTGGAGAGGAGAGAAATCACTTCATAATGAATTGGTGAGCTCTGACTCAGTCCCCAGATCTATTCACTGAACAACAGTGCCATCAAAAAAGAGCTCAGTTAACTAGAGGCAAAATTTCTTGTACTTTATCCCAACTCCTTGCAGATAAGGGCATATCTAGAAGTGTAGTATATTTACAAGTCACCCTCTAGTTGAATGACTATTGTAATTGATGACCAAAGAACATGTAACATGCCAATAGGCAAGCAATAGCCATAGGGCTGGAAACTTCATGTTCACCTCATGTCCTTCATTCTGCATCAAATACAGCTTGAACCTGTAGATTACTGGCTCAAGCTTGATGAGACCATGATTCTAAAAAGTGTTTAAGCATTAAAAAAAATCCTAATGTACTTCCCTCCAAAAACCTTACCCCCGCACCCAAAAAATGGAGAAACATATTTAATATTGTGAATTATTACATATTACTGTCTTGCTACATGTGGCCTTCATTGTATTGTGCCACTGCAACATGCTGCTAATAATGCAGAAAGGCAAAGAATTTAATGTGATTTAAAAATTGCTGGTGTGGATGGACTCAATTTATCCCAAAGGTGAGAGCTGCCACTAGCTTAATTGTTCCACTGCTTAGAACAATTAATAAGGTTCCACTGCCTAGAACAATTAATAAAATATTCACAAAATTCTATATTGCTAGGTTGCTGATGGTTGTTAGGCGTACACGTGCACTATTTCATCCACATCATTTTCTCCGGCAAGCATTTTAAATCCACTTACTGAATGTTCTCAGGTACCAAAACAGTATGCTTGAGGGAGCAGTTTTTCTGTGTGTTAATAAGCAAAGCTTTCCAGATAAAAGTTACAGAAGAATGTAGATTTCTTTATTATCTGGAGTTATATACAGCTAAAAAGGTTAGTCTATTATCCCCAGAGCCAGTATTTAGAAGAATCAGGGTTTACTTTAAAAAGTATCATGTTTCGTTTTCGCGGGGTTTTTTGGGGGTTTTTTAGGTTTTTTCAAGGTTCTTTGAAGTGGCTCTCAACCAATCTTAACTTTATTTTGAAATGCAGTTCTTATAATAGTAGAATCATTGCTTTATGGCTTTATTCATTAGAGTTCTCAGCATCTTACAAATGCCTAGTCACACATTTGACACTCTTTTTAAGTGGGACACTTAGCCAAGGAAAGCAGTAAGGACTTTGGAGATCACTTCTCAAGCTAGAATTGGGTGGAGGGCATAATTACATCTACTATTAAAGTAAGATTTCAGAGGCATTTGTGTATTTGACAGTTATGAGAGACCCTTATATATTTCCTTTGTCTTTGTGGAAAGGGAGACCCTGATATGAATATTTTCGTAATAGCTTTTTTAATAAAAAAAATATTATGCAGGCATTTGCAAACTGTCCCTTTAGTAGACTTCGGAATTGTTACTCTTTCTTTTTAATGGCATTTTGGTCTCTTTTGCCACATCCACGTAAATCCATCTTTTGAGTGAGTCAGAAGGTAGCTTTTTGCATGGTTAGTTTTGTAGGGCCCAATGTGGGATGAACATTTCCTATTACTTTTAGATGAGGCTTTAAGGTAAACAACAAGGATACAAAGATGAAGAAAGAAATCCCTGTAGGAATTTTTGAACTGCTTGGGTGAAAGAGTACCTGAAGTCAGGTGGGAATAGTGCTTGCAGTAGCTCAAGGAGCCTCAGTGACTGACAGTCTCCAGAGATATCCTTTGGTTTATATCTTTTTTGTTTAGTACCTTATATGATCCAGTCCCTTTTAGAGCATCACTGGACTCAGGGATTGATACCTACTGTAGCATAATAGTTAGTGTAATAATCATGTAGAATGAGGAAAACTGACTGGCATATGCTGTTTATGGAATATAAAAAATATTTTGGGTCAATACATTTTATTTACCTGCAGACCTTTTTCACTGCTTGTTGCAATCTTCTTTCTCTCTTGCCTGTTTTTTTCCCCAATTGCCTTGAATTACTAAAGCTTATAAATGGCTTCTTAAAGCTCTTTCAGTTCCTAAATTCCCCCCACCCCTCCCCGGGAAGCACTTTGTCACGGAATATGTGATGATAACATAACATCTTTTTAGGCTAGGAAGGAAAAATACTGTTAAACTGATGACTTTAAATATTTTGTAACATAAACACAAAAGCAATTATTTTAATGGAAAGCATTAAAAGCTGTCTGGACAGTCCATACATGGGTAGAAAGTATCTTTACTTTGATTCTGTGTGTAATTAGATCTACCTGTCTACCTGGATGTGCATATGCAGACACACACTTTTTGATACTTTTTTTTTCCCTAGACTCGTGAACAACTGCAAGCTGATCTTCTCAGGTATCAGGCAAAAATTGAGGACCTGGAGAAAGCTCTAATCGAGAAAGGACAGGTAAAAGGCTCTTTTAATGTCCTCTACCACATTATTTTCTCTCTTGCATGCAGTGGTGCCCTTGCCATCTTCATTGCTTGCTGGTGTGTTAGTGTGACTGATGCAGCTTAATTGCTACTCCAGCAATAGATTACTTAAGTAAAGGAAAATATTATACAGGGTCAGAAAATGTCATTAAAGATTCATTTTCTAACGTATGATACACTAAAGCATAATATTGCAATAACCACATGTACATGCATTGTAAGTTCTGTTCCCATTGTCATTTGGTGAACGCATGTCTCCTGTTTTCCATTTTGTTTATATTTGCTATAAATTCCAATAAAATAAATATTCTGTATTTGTACTGGAGAATATTTCTGGTGTAGCATAGTAAAATAGATAAACTAAATCACTTCCACTAGAGAAATGAACCACTGAGTGTATCTGGGTACTGGAAGCTGCTTGTGCTGTTACTCTTCTGGGCTTAAATTCTTAGAGGACCCAATTGCTTTCAAATTCCTGGATCATCATACAGAGTAAAATTAGGCCTTTGTTTTAGTGTATCTTGTAAATACTTGATGAAGATGTGGCTACTGATGCATATTTAATAGTGTCTAGGGTCTTCAGGAAGGCTGATTAAGACTTATGAGAGTGCATTTAAAAGATGTTCAGTTGCATAACTGCTGGAATGCACTGAGAAAATTAGATGTTCTTTTCCGCTTTATTGTTTGAAATAACAATTTTAAGATTGCAGGTAGTATATGGTAACAAAATAAGATATAGCTATCTAGAGATACACATTTCAAAGATTAATGATCCTGTAGCGTTGAATAAGAACAACCTATGAATAATGCCAAGTTAATTACTATTACTATTTTTATGGATTATTCTTTGTGAGAAAAAATTTCTGTAAGATTCCATATAAATACAAAGGTTTGGGGACCATAGTCAAATTAAAGGTAATTTTTTAATGCTAGGTTCCACACAAACTGCAATTTGTTTAGTAAATTCCATGTAAATAAAATATTACTAAAAATAGGGAATATGTTACCAATCTAAAAATGGTGACTCACTGAGCTTTTGGAAGAATAAATGAAACTGAAGACCTCTCGAGGATCTACTGCTGACATTTTCGTGTGTTGATCATAAAGGTGTTGCAGGCAAATTGCTGTGTAACTGAAAACATTAACAAAACAGTAGACTATTACAGTGTAAAATATAAGTGCTGTATATGTAAATAAGATAAGTGAACATGGATAACCATGTAAGAAATTACTTCTATGATTTTGTTTCCAGAATGGTGTGTCAAAAAGATGTGCCTGGAAATTAGAATTTAATTAGTTACTACTTTATGAGATTCATAACCACATTTTCAACCTGGTATCTCTTAGTAATCCTGAGAAGGCCAGCAGGGACGTGACAAGGAGCAGTATGATATTGTCTCTAGTGGGCTAGTTTGTACACTGAGCATTAGCTTTGCACAGAAGTGGTGACAGTGTCTTCCTGGGAGCTGTAGCACCTGCTCAGTCTCCTGACCTGTTAGTATTTACATTCAACAAAATAAACAGTTATGATAAACAGAATTCTTTGTGTACTATGTGATTTTTTTTTTCAATTATTACTTTGTCATTTAGGTGGTCATGGTGGTGATCATGGTTTAATAATACCTATGAAATGTTCATTCGAGAAACCAGTCCCTAAATTGCTTTTGAAAGGGAAACAATGAATCAAATGATCCCAGTGTATTAGCTCAGGAATTTTTAGTCTTTGCAGCTTTAAGAAACAGAAGCAGCAAAGACCTTCACAGTTTTCCTGAAGTCAAATTCAGAGCAGGACATTAGAATCTTATTGTTCAAAAATGATTTGAAGCTTGGCTTATAACAATTTATGTGTAATTTCAAAGTAAGTGTCAATGGCTCTTGTTAATCTCTCATGAGCTCAATCTGTCAGAATTCCCCTAGATATAAAATAAGACTAATAATCCATTTCTGCAAGGTACACTGAGGTGCATGTGTAAGAAACATTATATTAAGGGAAGAAATTATTATAAAATATTAACAGTGGTTATAATAAATCTCAAAATATTGGAGTATACAATGTGTGAGATGGAATTTTTTTTTAGTGTTTAGCTCTCTTAGTGACCTGGTCTGTGTATAAATACAGTCCCACTGAAGTTAAGATTTTTTCAGAAAGTTGAGTTGAACTAACGTCATCAAGAAAGACACAAAAGTTAATTATCAATAGGACAAATCGAGCCTTTTTTTTTTTTTCTCTTTGTGTGAACTGGATTAGTTGAACCTGTGCAGATCTGATATAACTGATGAACCTCCCTTTTACTATATACATGCATTAGGATATCCACCCTAAGTCTGTGAGTGCAACTCTTCGTTCATTTCTTGACCTTAATAAAACGCTAGTTAAATGTTAAACTAGGCATTGGATTTTATTTTCAATGGTTAGTTCATTTGTTTCAAAAATTCTTGACAAATATCATGCCTTTTCAGTACTTATTTTAGTATATTATTCCTAGTATGATGCTTTTAACATCATAATCCTGAAGAGATTGTTCACTGGATGAAAGTTAAAATGCACTTGTGCCTTCTTGTATATGAGTGGGAAAAGGAGAAAGAACAGTAGATATGTAAATGTAGTGGACAGTAGGTAGAAAAACTAACTTTAAACTGTTTTAAAAAATGTAAATATTATACTGTAATGTTTTAGATATTTTTGGTTTGGGTTTCAAGGCTAGTTAATGGGCTGGGATATCCAGATTTCATTGATTTTGTGTGCAGCATCAATGTGCAAATACCTTGCTGACAAAGAAAGTATCAGCATTTAGTAAAGACATTTAGATTTTAAATAAGGTGTCCTTTTTAGCTAAAAAATAATTTGGTCTAGAGTTAGGATGGCATTTTAGGTGCTGGATATTGTTTTATTAAACTTGTTAGAGCAGTATGAGCTAGGTTATGTAAATACTTTACAGGGAAAACAGAATGAATTTGGCTGTTACAATCCATTAAATCTGAATGTCCAGCAATGTCTGGCAGTGAATTTTTGTAACTCGGGTCTTTAATAGGATATTTGATGAGGCCTTTTGAAGCCATGGAAAAACCTAGAAGGAAATATCAGCTTTGGAAGAAATGATCAAATGGAAATACAGTTTTCAAATGGAGTATAGAATATCTTATATCACTTCCTTTTCTCCATAGCCTTCAATTCCTTATCACAGACACTGTATTAGCCTGATTCTCACACTTTAGCAGAGGGCAATTAACTGCACACCACTGAAGCCTGTTTTCAGTCATTTGGGGTAACTAAAGGTTTTTCTTCCCTTTTTCCATTGGGATTCACATTACACCACTCAAAATGGGATGATTTTGCAAGAAAATTCCCAACTCTTTGCAATGGAAATAAATAGTTTCGAGTTCAGCTGTAGTAAATAAATGCTTTAAAATTACATAAAATATCATATAACTGCATTCACCCACAATTGCTGTATGTGAAGATTTTAAAGTATATACTTAGCTGGAACATAATAGGAAACAAGAGACTCATCTTCAGGAAAAGAAAGGAACTTTTATTTCCTCTGTGGCTTAAAATGCTATTTATCCTTGAAATACATATGAAAGCGTTATTTTTTGATGTGTGGCCATTTTTATACTTGAGTGTACAGTGATGTCTGAAATCTTTTAATAATCGTGCTTATTCATTTGTCTTGTTTTAAAAAAATGTGTATAATTTTAATATTTTAATCTTCTTCCTCATAGGATTCAAAATGGGTAGAAGAAAAGCAACTATTAATCAGAACAAATCAGGAGTTGCTAGAGAAGGTACATGTTCAGAATCTGGGAATATTTTCACAATTGCTGCCCCTTATCATAAAAGAAATGGTAAAAGGAAATGCATGTACTAAGTACTGGAACATCAATATGAAAATTGCTTACTTTATTTATCTCCAGAAACAGAAATTAGATTAAAAATATCTGATTAAAGTACCAATATGCTTTTGTACTCTTTGGGAGTGGAAGCTGCTCTTGTGGAGTTACATGTTGTATAGCCATCAATTGAACCCAAGCTGGCTGATATTTCCAGTGTCCAGCAAAATACAATCTAAAATATTAAGCATAATGTGGAATCTTGTATTTTGTCAAAGAGTTACAAAGATTATTATTGTCCTGATCACTAATAAAATGGCCTGATCCCTTCAGCCTTCCGTTTTTTACAATTTTTCCACACATTAACTGATACTGATTGATTTGAGACTATTGTATCATTTACTGTCTGAGATACTCAGAGTTGAGCATCCTCGTTGTTCTTCAGTGGTATTGGTGGGAAAGTTAGCTAGTACTAAGGAAGTCAAAGAATTATTTTTGTTAATTGCTAGCTCAATATTAATATAATATGAATAAGACAACCAAAGAAAAACTCATGACTAAAAGTAGTTACAGCTGGACTTAATTTATTCAGACACTTGCATGGGTATTATAAGCACTATAGTACACTATGCCAGGTGTTACACTTCTATTTAGTTTCATACAAATAAAAAGATCACCCAGTTAAGCTAGACAGTAGACCAAAGCTATCAATTGGCATAAGGAATAGTTAATTTTGAATTTCTGTTTTGTCATTGTTAGTGCCCCAAAGCACAAATCTGGAAAATTAAAAAGTAGGCATTAAAATCTCTCCATTATTCTCTTTCATGTACTGTAAAGGGTAGATGTCTAGTCATGCAAAGGCAATGAGAACAGTCTACCCAAATGTTAATGTATAGAATCATAGAATGGCTTGAGACCTTAAAGAGGATCTAGTTCCAACTCCCCTGCTGTATACAGGGTTGCAAACCACTAGATCAGGCTGCCCAGGGCCCTGTCCAACCTGGCCTTGAATGCCTCCAGGGATGGGGCATCCACAGCTTCGGTGGGCAACCTGTTCCAGTGTCTCACCACCCTGTAGGTAAAAAATTTCCTCCTAATATCTAACCTAAATGTAATACAGTTTAATTCAGTTGATTTTAAAAGAAAGGTTGTATTGCTTAACTTATTTAGAATATTCATATTAATATATTAATATTCATATCATTTTTCATACTACTACCAGATTACTGTTCTAAAAGATCATTGACCATTTTCTACTCACAATTCTCACAAATACTTTGTAAGATGATGTTCTTTCTTTATCTCCAAGACGCAGACCAACATCTAATGAGAAACTGGAATAATTAACAGTTTTGTCTAAACCCGTGGCCCATAACTCTGTACAGTATCTTTTCCATTGCTTACAGGGTGTTATGATGTTGTGTTTGTCTCATAGATTTACAGAATGGAACAAGAAGAGCATCAGCTGAAGAACGAGATGCAAGATGCAAAAGACCAGAATGAGCTGTTAGAATTCAGAGTGCTAGAGCTTGAAGTAAGAGATTCTCTCTGTTGCAAACTCTCAAATGGAGCAGAAATTATGTTTGAACCCAAGCTGAAATTCCTGTAAAGATTTCTGATGTCTGGTGCATGTTTGAGGGAAATCACTTAGGTATCTATTTTTTAAATGTTGTATCTTGGGATAATGAAGTTGATGCCACTGCCTTAATATGTTTTGGAGAGAGTGCTCACTAATGTTTATAAAGATGTAATATAGCTAATATATATTGCATATAGTTTGTTTTTCATCTAATAAAATATTTTGTTTTGCACTATTTTGCCTTTTTTATTTGTTTCATTTCCATAACTGCTCCTTTCCTGCATGTAAAATCACTTGGTATGTATACTACAGCCTTGGTTGGCATTGCTTAAATTAACACACCTTCTCACATCTTGCATGCAGTGATCTGACTAAAGATCTGACACATCCATCACATCAATGTATAATTGCTTTTAATTACATTGGTTTAAGATTGACAACATTCATATGAAGTAAAATGATCTCAAAAGAACACATTTTGATAGCAGCTTTGAAAGAATTTCTCTTACCTGAAATCCATTTTCTGATGGTATAAAATGGTCATGAATTCTAAATAATATACATCAGTCAATGGAAAAAAGAAAAACACTCAGAGAATGTCAAAGTTGAACTGGTGGAGCACAAGTACAACTTCCGTACATGACAGTATTATGTTGCCAATAGCAAACAAATTTTATACTTTGCATAAATGAAATAACAGTGAAGTTATTAGTGAATAACAATTTGAACATGTAGCCTGTGATTACAGTAGAGAGCAATGGTTCTCATCACCTTGTAAATGAGACTCTTGTAGAGTTTAGTAACACTAAACTACTCGTGTGATGCACAGTTGTCACACAATTGTATTGCCTGATAACATGTTGTTCAGTTCCAAAGATCATCAGCATTCTTAACACCATTTAGAATAAACTCTCCAAGAAAACTATCATTGTCAGTCCTCCATAATTTTCATCACCCGGCACGTTTCACCAAAAATCTTGGCATGTGTAACATGAAGATGTCATGTCTTCCTGTTATGTGGACGTTCTGCTTTTTGTCTTTGACATTTCTTAATCTTTTTTTAATACTTTACTTTATCAGACATATATTTTGATGTCATAGCCCATAATACTCAAAAATACGAATTTAGGTTATTAGAATTTCAGTAGATGTTCAGGAAAATGAAAATGCTATCTAATAAATATCCTTATATTTTGTTAAGCAACTGTAAAGTAAAATACTAAACAATTTAGCATTTGAATTGGCTGTTATACTAGAAACTCCTCCCTAAAGTGTAAGTGTTCTTAGAGTAAAACAACTAAAAAAATTTCTTGGGAAAGAAAAAAAATGCTTCAATACATCCTTCACAGATGCCTTTCACTTGAAGGAATCACATGAAAAATAGCTCAGTGTGATGTGTCAAGTTTTGTCATGTGCCAAATCTTTAAGGACATGTTTCACAGAATAACAATGGAAGTATTTTTGTGTAATGGCAAGAAAATGTTTTTTCCTTAGTAGGTGGGCATGTAGACACAAATGTGAATGACAATGGGAATGCTTTAGTAAAATCATGAATGCTTCTGGTAATCATTACTATTTTTTTGAGAGCAATTAAATTACTTTGTATGAAAATTAGGCTAGACTAGAAACAAAACCATTTGTCTATCATTTAATGCAAGCAAATTGAGGTGAGTTTAATGCTTTTTTAAAAAAAATTAAATGGTAACTGAATTTGGACAAGAATTAAGCTTCTGATTTTGGATTACAACAGCTAGGTCATTGAACCCCATTTAAAAATTAGACTGTTAATACAAAAATTATTTAAAATAGACCCTATTAAGGGGGGTAAAAATATATAGTACAAAGATTTTTCCCTCTACATTGTAGTTTCACATTAAGTTTAAGCTCCTTAATGAACAAGCGTTGCCATGCTTTGTAACTTGCTGAGGTGAATGGATGCAGCCTGCTTCTGTACCAGTTGAAGCACCTCATTTAGTTATTTAAGAAACTGGGAAATGTATGAATAGTCATAGGAACTAAAATATTTGCAGTAGCTCTCTTTCATTGTACTGTTAGAAACTGGAGTCCTTGTTGCCAATGCCTCCTCTTGTAATATGGAGAGGAAATATGATTTTCCTCACTCGTGTTCCCATGGCCATAGAGAATTCAGAGTAAGACCCAGTGCCTTGCTTGCCCAGAGCCTTCAATGCAGTCATTGTCACAAGCACATTAAAATTTAATTTAGGTAAAATCTCTTATTTATTGTTTTACTGTAATTCTGCCTTCTGAACGAATAATAGGTTGGTATTTTGAAGAAACATGTGAAAGTCAAATAGATGGGCTGGATAATTTTTAGAAATACTATTGTTTTAGATAAATGGGAATTTATAATTTTTAGTTTTGGCACAAGGAACTTAAGTGTAGAGCAGTGCTGCCTTTCAACATCCTGAGTTGTGAAGTGAATAGAACTGGGAATTTACATGCTGTAATAGAAAAGTTAACTGTAGAAGAAACAGGGAGCATATACACAGCTTTAATTTTATTAAAAAAATCTTTGGTGATAGTACTATTTCATGATGGAGTTTAATATTTTTTCTACAGTTTCTTCTTCCTAAATTGTTTTTTTTCCATTAAAGAAAGCCATAATTAAATATGGTTATAACCAATGTAAAAAAATTGCACTTTTTTCAGGCTCCAGTCAGTTATTTGGCCAGAGTGCAAGGCTTCCTGCATCTCAGGAGTGTCGGTTAGCTTTGCAGAAACTGTATGTGCACAGAATCACTTGAAAGCTAATGCCATTTTCGTGCTTAGCTAAATCCTTCAAATATGATGACAGGAGGAGGAAATAAAATACATTTGGAATGTGAATAGGAATCTACCTTTTTGATGTACAAAAACATGTAAATGTGGGAAATAAATGTTTACATATAATCACACTTGTTGTTTTTAAACAAAAATCTTTCCTTAGGAGAGAGAACGAAGGTCGCCGGCATTTAATCTTCAAATAACCACCTTCCCTGAAAACAATGGAAGTGCACTTCAACTATTCTGTCAACAGGAAGGAATAAAGGTATATGTAGAGCATTAGTAACAGTTGGATGGGCAGGAACTTTTTCAGAATGACCAACCCAACATCCATCTTCCTATAGGGAAGAAAAGCTGAAAAAATAAATGTAGTAGGAAAAGATATTTTTAACTGGGGAAAGGTTTCATAAGAGGATGGTCTAGTAGCCTGCTAGGAGTTCATCAATGAAAATGAAGACTGATCAATCAAGATAAATTACATTTAGTCTAGGGTACTGCTGTAAAAACATTAGAGATGAATGTGCATGTTGATGTGATTCATTGTCAGGCTTGCTACAGTACTTTGTTCTTGATATTAAATGTTTTACTCTAAGGTCAGAAATATGACATTCACCTATTATTTTACACGAAATTTAGAGAAGCACCTATCCATTTTGTTTGTTGAATGAATATGCTTAAGTTATTTGCCTAGGCCAAGGCCTTGAAGCATGAGGTGCCTGATCCAAATCTCATTCAAATAGGTGGACTTTTTTAGATGAAGCACAAGATAAACATCAGGATCTCACTTGGTTAGCTTCTGCTATGAGGAAGCAAGGATTACTTAAAACTGAATTCAGACTTGCTTTGTTAGTAATGTTGCACAACAGGCCAGGGTAACTTTTCTGCAAGTAACTAAAGTGGAATATCTCTGTGTGTTATACTCCATGGCACTCACTAGTTATGTATGCTTGTATTTATAGTTGTGTTTACAAGTCGTCTTATAGAAGGTTTGTTTATATTCAGTGCTTTAATAAGCACAATACTATCACTAGTGGAAATAAACTGAAATTGTAGGCTGCATATTGTTAGGGAGCTGAGTAGTCTAAAAGAAAAAATTCTTACATACAGGTTAGTTGGGTAGTCATTTCCCAAACCACACCAAGTCATCAGTTAGCGTATTACCTTTCAAATAGAGCCTCCATGGGATGCCAGATCTGCTTTTTAGCTTATTCTAATTTGCATGTTGGCTGTAACAAGTATGGCTTACCAGGATCTAGAATTCATATTTTGTCCATTGTCTTCTGTTGCATTCCTAAACAGAAGTGGTCTGTTTGTTTTGTGTTTTTTTTTCATTTCACTTTCAGTTCACTTACCTGGAAGCAGGGGCAGTCACTTAATATGGACATACTGAAATTGTTGACTTTTTATATGTTTTCAGTGTCGTTCAAAATTGTTAGACATCAGTAGCAAATTAGATTCTTGAATGATGCAAAATCTGATTTGGTTTCTAAATCTTCCTATATGTTTCTTTGTAGAAATAAATGGATTTGAATGAGTATTTGTGGCTCAATAGATGCAAAAACTTGCATATCTTACTGAATTCCATTCTTCACTAGTGTAACTGATCAGCTAAGAAGTTTCCACTCAGCATTGTCAGTGCTGATCGTAATCAATAGTTTTGTTTTTGACACTGATCAAGTGTGTATTAAGCTCCACACCATTCTAAGATTATTAATGTGCACTGTTTCATAGGTAACGTAGCATTCAGAAACACTGCTGAGGTGTTTGGGGACGAAGAGAAGAGAGGGAGGGACTTTCTCAGGATAGACCAACTTAAACACAACACATTATTCCTTTTCGAGAGCCAGGATGGACTTATTTTGTAGATTCTCTCCCACATCTATGTCTGGTCTTCAGGAAATCTTCCATTTCTTCTTACACCTTCCTCACTGGTGTCTGTTAGGTACAGAATCATGAGCAAAAATATTCCAGTGTAGTTATGTAAGTTGCAAGCATAGCTAATTTAGCTTTAAAAAGTTTTAAAGATTGAACATCCTGACTACCTGCATAATATAGTCACACAACACATAGGTGCAAACCAGCACATTAAGTACTGTAAGTAGTGAAATTAATGAGCCAAGACACAGCCCTGTGAAATGCTGGCCTCTGACCTCATCTTAGAAGGACTGAATATGAGTAGAAGTTGAGGGTGCCAGCATTTAACAATGCTGTCTTGCTTTATGTATGTTTATTAAGCATTTTGGACA